TACGGTACGGTACGGTACGGTACGGTACGGTACGGTACGGTACGGTACGGTACGGTACGGTACGGTAGGTACGGTAGGTACGGTACGGTACGTACGTACGTACGTACGTACGTACGTACGTACGTACGTCGTACGTCGTACGTCGTACGTCGTCGTCTCTCTCTCTCTCTCTCTCTCTCTCTCTCTCTCTCTCTCTCTCTCTCTCTCTCTCTCTCTCTCTCTCTCTCTCTCTCTCAATTTTCAGGTTCCTGAGAATGAGGTGGTGGAACTTTTCAGGTTCCTGAGAATGGGGTGGTAGACAAGTCCCTTTCGTGAGGAAGTGTGGTCTGAGAGGAAGGAGCATCACACTGTGCGCGCGAGATGTGATTTTGAACGCATTACACGATGAGATGGTGGGAGATCTGAGGTGTTATATGAGAGACAGATCCCGTGCGGTCTGACTGTAAACCCACGCGGAAGAGAGACAGAGGGAGAGAGGGATTACACTAAGGAAAAAGTTTAGACAAGGTGTCAACCTTATACTGTACTGTATCAAAAACTACTTGAAGAAGGTCGTTTCGTTATTAAAAAATTTCCTGATTGATATTAAAAAATTTCCTTATTGATATCTCATATATGTGAATAGGAAAGAAAAATGAATTTCAAATTTTAAAATTAGTCCATCTTATAATACATTATCTAGACCATCTATTTTCAAACATTTTATGTGTTTATAGATATGTTAGATTTGCATCATTTTGAAGTTTTCAATTTCATTATGAGGTGAAAAATAAACTTTTTGGCCATGATAAGAGTTTTCGCATCGAAAATCCATCTTTTAACATGATAAGAGTTTTCACATCGGAAATACATCTTTTAACGAGATTGTGAGATGCACCATGTCGTGATTGTTTAATATTGAAACTTTATACAAACCTCACCCTTAAACTAATGGACGCGGCTTCTATGAGTCCATGTAGAAACGAGTCACTTCTTAAAAATCTATTTTTGAGATGGATTTTGTATTTAATTTTTAAAGAGATGTAATCTCTAACATGGAGATCATGAATATGAAAAAATAAATTAATTTTAAAAATATTAAAAATAACAATTCTATTAAAAAAATATTTGGACCGTTTCAATTGTTTTTAGATGGACCACCTATTTGCATCCATCTTTAAGATGGATGCTTTATACATTGGGACCGCATATTGTAGGAATACGGTCTGACCAGCATGAAACAATTTTCCTAAACTAATGAGTATATAGTAGTAGCTCTCTCATATAATAGTTTATTTCTACTCCCTCATAGGATTTTTTCAATATGAAATTTTGGTATGTTATAATCACTAAAAGATTATTCTCATAAAAATTTTGAAAGTGAGTTTTCTAATACTTGGATCTTGCCCTCTAAAAATTACATGATTTCTATTCAATTTTGAGACATTATTTTATCAAATGCTTAAATAAGGCCATTAGAAAAATTTATTTATTGACGTTAATCTTTGTTAAAAAAGTTATATCCCAAAAATTGGGTTCCTAATCGCTAATTTTAAGTGGGATTTTACCCGAGGGAGTAAATAAACAGTATACTCTCAAGGGAGTAGAACATCTTTTGGCATAATAACCTGTTTTGCTTGGGGACGGCTCATTAAGATGGGCCATGTCCTTACGCAATCAAATGGTGCAAAAATTTGAAAGGAAACTGATGTCGAAAGGTACTCTCCCTCTCTGCGTCCATTCTGGTTTAGTATTTTAAAATATTTTAAATTGTCATCCGGATTGTGGATCACGATGATATGTGAATGAAACCCTTTTGTATATACCTATTATCTATCGATTTATCTACTATTGTTATTATGGGTGCGGTTTGTATAGAGCCTAGGCTCTAAACAATCAAATTAGAGTCTACCCTTCAAATAGTGTCGAGAAATGTGCGTTAAAATACATTTTCATCTTTATTTATAAAGTTTAAAGCTTAAAAAATAGTGTAGATCGATAGACCTATGAAAACTTGAAAATCTTGAAAATTGACGGTCCAAAAATGGGTTACAAAATACATTATTTCCAAAACTTAAAATCTGTTTTTTTTCTCATATCCATGCATCCTAATGTCAAGATGATCAATTTGAGCCTCTTCTAGTGAAATTTTTTAGGTAGGCTCAAATTTGATTGTTTAGAGCCTCAGCTTTATATAAACTTTTCCCTATTATTATTATTATCTATATACATTATTAAGCCAAAGTTAAGAGGTAGACATTATTAAACCGAAGTTAAGAGATAGACATGTGTTGCATAATTAAAAAGAGACCTTATGCCTAATATGATTTTAGGCATGTGACCTTCAACAAAAATAGAGAGAGAGAGTATGGAAGATGAGATATTTGAAATGGTGTCTTAAATAGGCTTGAAGCGGTATGTGTCCCCTCTTACACCTAAAATAAACTTGAAAAGGTTCATGTCCCTCAAAAACTAGCCCTCAAAAGGGGTTGAAAGATCGATGGTCTCCTTAAAAAAACCCTTTGTAAAGGTTAATAAATAAAAGAGAGATAAATGAAAGTGCAATAGGTCCCTCAAATAGTTAGAAAGAGAGCTATATGAAGATAAATTACAGAGTATCTTTTCATAAATATCTATTTCTTCATAACAATAGATATTTCTATGAGAATCCTAAAATGTTGGAAAAATATCTATGTTTTCCTCCTTAAAAGCTATCCGACAATGAAAAGGTATATGGCCTTCAAAATATGAAAGGGTGTGTCCCACCTGTTTCCAAAAGTTATACATCCCCTATGTGGCAATGAAAAGTGTGTGGCTTCGAAAATATGAAAAGTACCCAAATGTTTTTCAACCTTATAAACCCTTGTACCAATCCTTTCAAAACTCTAAAAAAAAATAAAATTCTCTTTATTCTTCCTCATTCTCTCTCTCTTTCCTCCTCCTTCCTACCATCAATCATTCTCTCCTTCTACATTCTTCATCATCATCTCCCTCTCTACTCTTTGCTCTCTCCACCCAACAATTTCAAAACCCTATAAAGTTTTGAGAGTGCCAAGTCTAGTGGGGAAGAGGAATGCTTGAATAAACTGCAATAGAAATTGTTAAAATAAATAAATAAATTTATTGAGGTATTTTGATTTCATATTTGGTATATATAAGTATTGTGCTCCGGATTATTATATAATTATGCACATATGTATGTATATTTTTAAAATATATGATAAGATAGACAAAGAAATAGAGAGAGAGAGAGTGTGTGTGATATTAATGGTTACATATCTTTTCCTAAAAGAGAAGACAGAGAATGATAAAAAACTAGAACAAGATAAGATCATAGTTAGCAAGTTGAGGAATATTAATATAACGGCTCACAATAAAATAAAAAACAAATCGTTTTTATTTTAAAAAGTCGGATGAAAAAATGGTTAAAACTTACGGATCGACAAAAATACTTTATGTAAAAATATCGTAAATATATCGGACTAGGCTCCAAAAATCAGAGTGAAAAAAACAGATAAGTTTAAAATTTTAAAAAATGAAAAAATATGTCAAAGCCATCTATAACTTATCTATTCATAAAAACTTCGTAAAACTAATATAATTAAGTCAATAAATTTAGATATCGCATGACTCTTTCCCCATCATCCAATATTAAACACAAAAATCACTATAAAGATTCAAAACTAAGCATGAGGCACGGTAGAGTTATCATAATTGATATAAAAGTTAGGAGTTTGGAAATACCTTAAGTCATTTAGCCATGCATTCTCATCACTACGATCATCATCATCTAGGGATATGTCATCATTTTCCATCTCTTTGAAAACCTCTTTTGACAAGGAATCAAGTTGTTCAAGATTAAATGCATTACAATCACGCTTCTCATTTTCACGAGATGCAGTCATCATCTTCGAGTTTATTCTTATACAAAACAAGTTGGTCAACAACATAATTGATGTCAATTTATTCTTTTTTTTGTTTGTATCATCTCAAAAGTAATCTAATTTCTTTCACATGCTAATGAGCTGCATGATTGACTTAAAATACGAATAGTAACTATTCAAACCAATGGAATTCTTTCTCCACATACTTTCTACCAAATTCCTGCATAATTAGAAACTTTTAGCTATATATTCAAGATATAATTAAAAGTAAAATAAAATTTATTTTATTAAAATAATGAAAAATAAATAATATAAAAAGATACAAAAATCTATTAATACAAGAAGATATTTACGATGATGCGCAAACTATTAATACAAGAAGATATGTATAAGGATGAGTTGTTGACAATAATCTCATTGCAACACCATCAAATACATTTTGATCCCACATATGGTAATTCAACTACTCTAAAAAGAATATATTTTTGTGTTCTGTCTGGATCACTGTATCTGAAATCAAGATAATGCTAAGCTTCACTTCAAGATTATCAAGTTTAACAAACCCACCACACATTAAAGATGGGTTAAGAATTGCGGCAACAATATAAATAAGGTGAATTGTATATTCCTTTCGCATCTTTTCAAATATCTTCAAGATATCAAGATTCATTGCCATTATTATTCATCTTTAGTGATTCCCTTGCCCTCTGTATTACTTTAAATAAATCTCCTATGGCTGACACGTCACTATTAACAAAGCGAAATAACTTGATAACAGGCTCTAAGATGGTGATTGTATATGTCACATCATTTCAAATTTTAGAGCTTTGAATTATTTTTATTTTTTTTTCATATTTTTACTCTTGCTTTAACTTATAGCTCTCCAATCAAATGATGCAACAATCAATCTCAAACCTTCTTCTACTTGTAATACAAATTGAACCATCAAAAAGTTAATGGCATATTTAATTTTATCATATTTTTTCATTTTCCTTCCATTTGGGTTGTTTCTCATTAAATCTACAATAATGGTACGCCAATATATAAAGTCCATTATTAACTTAGCATCATT